CCCTTTAGACACAATATCTCTAATGAAATGCAGCCTCACATCAATGTGTTTAGTTCTCTCATGAAACACTTTATTCTTGGACAAGTGTATAGCACTTTGGCTATCACAGAGTACTACCACTTCCTTCTGTTTGATACCCAACTCTTCTAGTAATCCCTTAAGCCATAAAGCTTCCTTTATTGCTTCAGTTAATGCAATATATTCAGCCTCCGTAGTGGACAAGGCTATCACATTCTGAAGAGTGGTCTTCCAGCTCACTGTACATACTTGGACTTGAAATGCATAACCATTGAGAGATCTTCGACGGTCCAAATCCCTTGCAAAATCTGAATCTACATAACCCGACAACTTCTCACAAGCTCCACCTGCTTGACCATACACCAAACCATGATTTAAAGTTCCCTGTAGATACCTCAGTATCCATTTTACTCCTTGCCAGTGTTATTTTCCAGGATTGCTTATGAATCTGCTCACCACACTTACCGCATGAGCTAAGTCTAGTCTTGAGCATATCATGTAGTACATTAAACTGCCTACGGCACTTGAGTAAGGTACAGCTTCCATGAACTTCTTGTCATCTTCAATTTCTGGTGAATCAGCAGCAGACAATTTAAAATGTTGAGCTAGAGGGGTTAGTACATGTTTGACATTTGTCATTCCAAATCTCTGAATCACCTTCCTTGTATACCCTTGCTGCGTGACAGACATAATCTTCTTCTCTCTGTCTCTAGTGATCTCCATGCCTAGGATCTTCTTAGCAGCTCTGAGATCCTTCATCTCAAATTCAGTTTGCAGGATTTCCTTGACTTTATTAATCTCTGTCAAGTCTTGACAAGCTATAAGCATGTCATCCACATAAAGCAACAAATATATAAACTTGTCCTCTCTAAGTGATTTGAAGTAGACACAATTATCATGTTGACTTCTAAAAAAGCAAGATTTGATCATAAATTCATCAAATCTTTTGTTCCATTGCATTGTGGACTGTTTTAGTCCATAGAGAGACTTCCTGAGCAAGCAAACCGGTTCCCCATCTCCCTTGACCTCAAATCCCTGAGGTTACTTCATGTATATCGTCTCTTCAAGCTTTCCATGGAGGAAGGCTATTTTAACGTCCAGCTGCTCCAATTCAAGATTCTGAACTGCAGTGAGAGCAAGCAGTACCCTGATTGAAGTGTGTTTTACCACAGGAGAGAAGACTTTTGTGTAGTCTATCCCTTCTCTCTGTGTAAAACCTCTAGCCACCAATCTTGCTTTGAATATTGAATTTTCCACTCCCGGGATTCCCTCCTTATGCTTGAAAATCCATTTACAGCTCACTAGTTTTTTATCTTGAGGTTTTTTCACCAAATCCCAAGTCTGGTTTCTAAACAAAGAGTTCATTTACTCCCTCATTGCCTGCTTCCATTTTTTCTTTTATGGGTAATTTATAGCTTGTTCATAGCTTACAGGTTCATTTATTTCTTCTGCTACATTCAATGCAAAAGCAGTGAGGTCTAAATACCCGTACCTGCTAGGCGGTCTTATTTCCCTCCTTTGTCTATCTCTGGCTAGGCAATAATCATGCTGATCCGATCCTCCTACTGCTGGCTGATCTCCATTTAAACCTGTCTCAGCTTGAGTTATGCCAGCTTGCTCCAAAGGCTCCACCTCAAATTATATTCCCTCATCAGGTGTTTGCCCCATTCCACCTTCTGACTGCGGCTTCAAGTCTCTATAGAATTGAGTCTCATTGAAGGTTACATCCCTGTTGATGATAATCTTTGGCCCATCTGTTTCTGCATTCCAGAGTCTGAAACCCTTTACTCCATCTTGATACCCCATGAAGATGCACTTCCTTGCCCTTGGTTCCAACTTGCCTTGTTTGATATGTGCATATGCCACACACCCAAACACTTTCAAGTTTTCATAGCTGCCAGGCTTTCCAGACCACATTTCCAATGGTGTTTTAAACTGTATTGCTGAGGATGGACATCTATTAATCAAATAGCAAGCAGTTTTAACTGCCTCTGCCCAAAACGTCTTAGGTAGTCCTGACACAGAAAACATACATCTAACCCTCTCTAAAATAGTCTTATTGAACCTCTCAGCAAGACCATTATGTTATGGAGTACCCCTAACTGTAAGCTGCTTAGCAATCCCTTTTGAACTGCAATACTCCTTGAACGCTCCAGAATAGTATTTTAATCCATTGTCAGTTCTAAGCCTCTTAACCCTTTTACCAGTTTGATTCTCAATCAAAACCACCTATTGCTTAAAATTTTACAGGGCTAAGTCTTTATTTTTCAAAATGAACACCCACACCCTCTGGGAATAATCATCGATCACAGACATAAAGTACCTTGCTCCACCTATGGACACGATTCTTGAAGGCCCCTACAAGTCTGAATGCAGATAATCCAGTGTCCCCTTTGTTCGGTGTTCTCCAGTTCCAAACCTGGTTCTGCAAGATTTTCCAAAGACACAGTGCTCGCAGAAGTCTAGTTTCTTCAGCTTCTCCTTTTCCAGCACTCCCTGGTTTCCCAATTCTTGAAGCCCTCTCTCACTGACATGTCCCAGTCTGAAATGCCAGAGTGAGGCGTAGTCTTGAATCACCTTTGAGGCTACTGCAGCACTTCCAATCACCGTCTTGCCCTGGAGCAGATACATGCCATTCTCCCTGGTTCTTTTCATGAACACCATGGAACCTTTTACCACCTTCAATCTCCCACTTTCTGCTTGGAACATGAAACCCTCCGAGTCAAGCATTCCCAAGGAAATCAAGTTTCTCATTAACTCTGGGACATGCCTGACGTTGTGGAGTCTTCTTTCACATCCATCTGCCATCAAGATTGAAACCGTGCCAGTTCCCAAGACCTTACATGCCTTGTTATTTCTCAGAAGTACCTGCCCAGAATCCAGTTTCTTGTAATTAGAAATCCATGATTCATGAGGCGTCATGTGGAATGAACACTCTGAATCCAGAACCCATTCATTTCCTGCATCCGCATCAGCCACTGTGAGGACTTCTGCACTCTCATATCCTTCAGAAACCACGTCTGCATCTCCATCTGATTGAGTCTTTTCACTGGGCTTTTTTTTATTCCTTTCAGGACAATTCCGTTTGAAATGCCCCTCATTGTGGCAGATAAAACACTTCAGTTTACCTTTTGACTTGGATCTTGATGACTGATTCTTGTTCTTGAATTCCCTCTTCTCTGGTCTTCCTCTTACGAATAACCCCTCGCTTGATGAATCCCCAGATCCTTCCCCCTTTGTCTCAGACTTCTTCTTGAGCTCCTTGGACATTAGGGCAATTTGAACCTCCTCCAATGTCAGACTATCCCGCCCATAAATCAATGTATCCGAGAGGTTTTCATAGGCACTGGGTAGGGATTTCAACAACAGTAACGCTTGATCGTCATCCTCGACTTTAATGTCGATATTTTCAAGATCCAAAATTATTTTATTAAACTTGTCCAGATGCTCCTCAATCGTTCTTCCCGGCGGCATTTTGAACGTGTACAACCTCTGTTTCAAGAACAACCGATTAGCCAACGATTTCGTCATGTAGAGGCTTTCGAGCTTTACCCAGATCGCTGCCGCAATTCTTTCTTTCGAAATCTCCCGCACAACTTTATCTCCGAGACACAAGATCAATGCGTTGTGAGCCTTGTCCAGGATCTGCTTCTTCTCCGGCTCCGATAAGGACAACTGCAGATTCTTTTCTCCTCCCAGCGCATCTTCAAGTCCTTGTTGAACTAGGAGTGCTCGCATCTTCAACCTCCATAGACCGAAGTCGTTCTTTCCGGTGAATTTCTCAATATCGAACTTCGTTATCGTCATTCTTGGTTCTCAGAACAAGGCTCTGATACCAATTTGTGAAGCTTTCAGCCTTCGTTGCAGAACACAAAGATTCAATCGTACACAAAAGTGGAAAGAAAAATGAGAACTTTTATTTCTGACTGGTTCTTCAAGATTACAGACTTGGGATTCTTAATCTTTCTCTCTCAAGAAAGCTCTGTCTTTTTTCTCTCTCTAAGTTCTATCTCTGTTACAATATGACTTTACAGCACACTTAGCTTTATACCCCTAAGCTACCACCGACTAAGCACACCTGTAACACTTATGACACTTAGACTATTACAAAGAATCATGTACACTCAATGTTCCACGTCAGCCACTCAAGACATTTTAACCAACGGCCACAGATGCTTCAACACTTATGTTTTTAAATTTTGAAATTTCTATAACAAGTATTTTAATTTAACAATACATAAAAAGCATGTGGCAGCCTTTCTAATTAGTTCTTTTTTATGATGTTTCTCACTTTGCTCCTATAAAGTTATTTTTCCGCATATATTTTTATTTTATTTTTTATTGTTTAAAATAAAATTTTTTTAATGTGTTCCTATTTAATTTTTTTTGTCAATTATTATTTTTACACATATTTATTTTTAGAATAAATTCAAAATTTCTTAAATTATTGTATAAATGAATTTCTTAATTATTCAATAAACAATAAATTTTTTAAGTTTCTTTAACACCGTAATACATGTCGAGCACCTTACAAAATTAGTAGGTTTAAATGACTTGGAGTATGTGGACCTCGTGTTTACGACATAATAAACCAACATAGCAAAAGGTGCGTGAGCCATACACGTACGTGTGGAGAAACTAGGAAACGAGTGGAAAATGTGTGAGCGATAGCGGCTTAAAACTAAGCCTGAGTTAAAAATAAAAAATAATAATAATAAAAGAGCAAGTTGGTGAAGCAGGCTGGTGGCCAGCCTGCTTTAAGGTTCTTTTTATATATAGAACGAAGTAATAATCTTAGTTGTTCCCAAAAAAAAAAAAAAAAGACAATTATATCTAAGTCAAAACGTTTAACAAGATCAATATTACATAATTATGAGCTTTATTTCTCCTTCCTTTTCTTTGCTATTGACAATATTGTAGATAGATAGAGATGTTATAATATGTTATATAATGTCATAGAAGTAATAATCTTAGTTGTTCAAATGATTGCTTTCAGCGTGGGAGATTTCTTCCGTCGTTGGAGATGGATTGATGTCGTTCGGGGATTTATAAGTAGCTTGAAATCAACTTCTAGGGCGTTGGATGATTTCTACACTCAGGTTATTGAAGAGCATAATTGTAAGGCAATAAATACGAGAACTTCAAGTGATGATAGCTATAATGGTTATGATTCTGAAGATTTCATGGATGTTCTCCTTAAACTTCAAAAGGATCCTAGCAAGATTGAGCTTGAGCTCACTCCTGACCATGTGAAAGTGCGGGTATCTCCCACTAATTCATTGATTTTTATTTATTCGTATCATGTTCTTAATGTCTTTTATGATTCTCTTAAGCGTGTTTCTTATGATCATGCCCGAAGAAGAATAAGCTTTGGATGCAATTAAAAAATATGGAATTTCTCTGGTTATGACCATAAAAAATAAATTATCGGTAATTTTATATTTTTAACTATTAAATTTATTTATATATTATTTATTTATATATTTTATATTTTTAACTATTAAATTTATTTATAAATTATTTATTTATATATTTTTTAATTTAATGTGATTTTGATCAGATTTAACAGTTAAAAATTAATTTTAACGTTAAAGAAGTCCTATCGAAAAAAGTTTTTAGAAAGTAATGAATCTTAACAAAATACAAAAAAAAAAAAAAAAACATTATTAAAAAAATCCTACGAAACAAAAAAAAAAATAAACTTGATAATATTAAAAAAGTAAACGCTTACTAGAAATTTATTTTTTATTGCACACCATTTTTTAAGGAAAGTATACCAACGTCTCTTAAAAGCTTGATTAACTAATTTTCAGCCTTTTTATTTTTTGTTATGCTAAAGATTATTATTCTTACTTTTAAGATTTTTCTTTATAACATACTAAAATATTATTTTAAGTTAAAAATAGAACGCGCATTATACATTCCATCAACAATTGCAGGACATGTTATTGGCAAGAGTTGATACTAGTTCAACCTTAATGGAATGGTTAATGGCAGAGCTTCTGAGAAATCCCAAAGTGATGAAGAAGGTCCAAGAAGAAGTGAGAAGCGTGGTGGGAGAAAAGGCAAAGATTGAAATGGATGACACCAACCACATGAGTTACCTTAAACGTGTTATTAAAGAAACTCTAAGGTGAGTTTTTAATTCAAATTGAGATGTAATATTTTTAAAAAAATTTTAATTGTAATAAAAAAAAATTAAATGTGATATTTTTTAAAAGTTTTTAACTTTAAATATTTAGAATTGAAAACTCAAATCGGTAAAATGAACGAGACTTAAAACTACATCCACTACTCCCATTATTAATTCCTCGTGAAACTTCTGTTGGATCCTTAATCCAATGTTGGGCTTATATGTGAATAATTATGTGTTACGGGCTGTCATATAAGGTTAAGCCTAATTAAAAGTGATCTACTAAGGTTTAGGCATTTTGGGCTTTAATGTATCTAATAGGGTGTGAGTCTTTAATGTGTAGAGACTTAAGGATAATTTCTATTTTTATGATGAGCTAAAATAGAAATACCAAAAGATAACAGGGAAGTTATCAATATATAGCAGTTATAGTCTACAGATCACACGTATCATTTCATTCATTCTGACATCCCATCATCATAAAGAGTACAGAGAAAGGGTTCTTTAGGAAAACGTGTTGATCTGAAAGACAAACTGCACGACTCTAGAGAGAAATCAAGCAATATGGATTCAGGTACGCTTCCATTTACAGATTTATTAATTTTTGATGATCTAACATGAATGTTCTTGACTTTTAGGTGGTGGTTTTCACCGAATCTTTGATTTCTAACAACTTCAACAAGAATCAAAATTGTAGGCTACCATATTCCTGAAAAAAACTAAGGTGATCATCAATGGATGGGCGGTTCACCGGCACTCAAGTCAAGCGTATGGGATCGGCCTTGTTTGGAGAGAGAGAAAATACAGGAAAAAGAATATTCTAGAGAAAGAAGATTTCTGGGTAGAAGATTGTATTATTGCTAACCACTTGTGTAATACAGTTTTGTGTCTTAAATAGCTAAATACAGACTCTAACAAACTTTGTCAGAAACCAATCCACTAGTGACACGTGTACACAGCTAACTTTCTCAACGGGCCTGAGGAATTTATCACTGAAAGGTTTATAGAGAAAAACCAACTCGATTACAAAAGTCGAGAGTACTTTCAATTGATCCATATGGTTTTGGACGAAGATTGTGCCCCAGGATGATTTTTGGGATTGTTAATATTGAATGTTTGATGGCCAGCCTTTTGTATTGGTTTTACTGGAAGCTAGCCACAGGGCTTGAAGATCAATTGCCAGAGGACTTAGACATGAGTGAAGTATATGGTTTGACTGTTCACAAGAAAGTTCCTCTCCAGGTTCTACCGATAGCATACTCTCCGTAATCTATATCTACATCTATATCTAAGGAGAAGAATGTTACTAAATGCGCGTTTAGTTCGCTGATTCGAGTTTAAATGTGACTTTATATGAAAATTTTTTACTGTAGTAAAAATATTAGATATGACTATTTTTAAAATTTTTTTATTATAATAAGACTCGAATTTTAAATTCAAATCGGTGAAATGAACAGAACCTAATTTTCACTGGGTTATCTAAGGAGAAGAATGTTACTAAATGCGCGTTTAGTTCGCTGATTCGAATTTAAATGTGACTTTATATGAGAATTTTTTACTGTAGTAAAAATATTAGATGTGACTATTTTTAAATTTTTTTTATTATAATAAGACTCGAATTTTAAATTCAAATCGGTGAAATGAACAGAACCTAATTTTCACTGGGCGATTATTTCCTCTGTTTTGGCTGTTTTTATTGCTTTGTATTATTAGATGGGTGTTGAAGTTGAAATGTAACATTGCTTGATGTGAAATATCTCCTTTCTATTCAGAATGAGTGCATCACTTATAAATCATATTTATAAATTTTTCGTTTTTCTTGAATTTGGGCGGGAAGATTTTTACTTTAGAGTTTATTAAAAAGTTAGTTATAAAACCACCGTTAGATTATACATTCCCATCACATAAATTTTCTATCGTTTATCACTAGAATGCTAAATGGAAATGACGTATCAACAGGGTACACTTTAATCTACACTATATTAAGAATATTAATCACTTGACATGTAATCAATGACGGAGAGAATATCAAAACGATTTGTAAAAAAAAAAAAAAAAAAAAAAACTATCTAGATGTTTTGTTATAAAAGAATACCGAAACGATTTTATGTCTTTAGAATAAAAGGAAAAATTAGCTAAATAGTTGTTTTTGACTATCTTCGTCAATAAATGACAGACCTTTTTAGATAAATGACTAAACTTTTTTTTTTAAATTTTAAGAAATGGTCATTTTTTTTTTTACAGAAATCAATCACTCAATTAGGGATTGGCTTAGAATCAATTAGTCATTTGTCTAATAATTACTTAACGATTCATTAATATTAATTTATCAATAGTTTATTATTAATAAACTTATAATTGCTCATTAATATTCATTTATCAATAATTTATCATTAATAAACTTATAAATACAAACTGATTTTAATTAATCACTAACTATTATTAATTAATAATTAAGAGTTATCAGGTTAATCAATGATAAATTAGAGTCAATAAGTGATAGACCGCTAAGTTAATAAAAAAACCTTAAGTTTATAAAACTTCAATCTTTAAATAAAAATATTGTGATAAATTTTTACTGAAAAAAAATATTTTATAAGATATAAAAAATAACTTTCAGAATATGAAAGATAACATATAAGTTATATAAAAAAATAATAACCACAAAATATGAAAAGTAATATTTTTTAAGATATCAGTGATATAAGTTAAATTTAAAAATAACGGCAATAAGTATATTCTCAAATAGCTTTCTATAATGAAAAGTTTAATTTATGAGTATAGAATAGGATTGTACAAAAAAATTATAAAACCTAAACCGACCGTTTAAAAATCGAAAACGACGGTGCCATGTGGAACCGAACACAATCGGTTCGGTTAACCGACCGAACTGCCACAATGACGGTTCGGTTTCGGTTTTACGTTTAGTGGTTCGGTTAAAAACTGAACCGACCGAGTTAGAGAGTTTTTTTTTATTGTTGATTTTTTTAACTCTATTGTCGTTTTTCACTCACACAAGTCACAAAATACACAATTTAATTTCTTATGCCAATTTAAATGTTTTTTTACACTTGTGTTTGTACAATTATCAATTTAGATGTTGTGCTTTGTATTCATTTGTTGTGATTACATGTTTGCATTGAAGGAAAATTTTATATTTTTTAGTACTTTCTAGTCAAAAATGCAATTAAAGATGTTGGTAACCTGATGGTTAACTGAGGTCACCTTCCTGATTGCCAAACCGATCGAAACCGAACCGAATCGAATAATGTTGCATGCGGTTCGGTTTCGGTTCCCACTTTTAGAAAACTGACATGGTCATTTCGGCCACCGAACTGATCAAAACCGACGCCGAACACCCTTAATCTAAAATTATAATTTATAATTTTAATTTTAAAAATTAAACTTTTTAGAAAAAAAAACTCTAAAAAATTAATAGCTATGATTCAGAATGACGAACCTTCAAGCGAACTGTGTAACACTCAAATTAATAATTTTCTTTTCCCATCCAAGTATCTGCGTAGTATATTTTTTTCACCTTTCATTACAATACAAATCCTGTTGTGACACTTTCCCCTGCCCTAAAAGTGCAAATAACGTTTGCTTGGAGGCCAAGCCGAGGGCTGCTGATTCCGATTCTTCTTTGAAAAAGTCGCAAAATCGCTTTCGGAGGGAATCCAATCCACAGAAGAATCTTGGAAAAATCGCAAAATCGCTGGCTTCACCACCGAGCTTTCCAGTGAGAAGAAGAAGAAGAATAATTTCTGCAGTGAAACGTTTTGGATAATCTTTTGAGGTTTGATTTTCTCTCAAATCATCGTCTTAATCCTAGATTTCCCTGTTCAGTTCCTCTTTTCGCCATCATTTCAGTTCCTCATGGAATACCGAAATTCTCAGTAGTTTGATACGAACCAATCCATTTTATTCTTCATGATTTTCTTGTTAAAATTGTCATTTCTTAAGAATTAGTTAATCAATTTGGGGATTTTTTTTTTCTCTTTCTGCTTAATTTAGGCTCGTGCATGTGCAGAATATACTTTGCTTTTTTTTTTTTCCCTCCAATTTCCTTCTTTCGATAGCCAGAAATTACGTGCAGAATAATTAATAAAGATGAAGCCACGAGTACAATTGTCCAGTATTTTTCATGCCCAGGAGTTTAACGATCTTACTAGCAGAAGATTTGGGTTAGTTTCTGTAGAAAAGAAAATAGGATACATACATGTGTGTGTATATAGTCTGACCCCTGTACAGTTCGGCAAATGTAACCTTTTTAATATATCCGTGTAACATCGTTCACAATTGTGTAACACTCAATTTAAACAAATATGTACGCTGAGTGTTATATTTGTTGGATTATATTTTTTAAATGTTACGCCAAAGCAAGCTGAGTGTTACATGAACGTAAGTACGATGTAATAAGGGCATATGAATGGTTCGGGTGTCGGACTTAATACAATTCCTAAATATATGTATATTTATACCTTTCTTCTATTTTCAGTGACGAAGCCAGGAATTTTGGTTAGGGGTTAATCAGTGGTGGAGCCAAAAAGATTTTTTGTGAGGCTACTAGGAAGAAAAAAATAGTAATAATTTTTTCCCGAATAGAGATATAGTAGATGTTATAACTATTCAGTCAGAGCACATAATTTTTATTATATAGTGGCGTTGTGACTCAAAATTTTATACGAACTTCTTGCAAAATTTGTATTATGCAGCAATAAGTCATTAAAAATTTTGGGGGGAACAAAAGAAAGTTTTTAACTTTTGGGTGGGGGGTACATATTTGGCATAAATGAACATATAAAATTGCAAATGAAGAAAATGTTGAGGGGAGGCTTAAGCCCCCCAGGCATGCAGTGGTGTCGTCCCTGCCTATTCTATTCGTGTGAGAGAAAAAAAATCAGGATTCTTTGAAGGACTTGAAATCGCTGCTTAAGTTAAAATTCTACCCACGTCCTAGGTTAAATCCAATAATTGTTCTTTGATATTTTTTAGTTCATAATATCCATAATGGTTGGCGTGGATATGCAAAAAAAAAAAAAAAAATGATATGTAAAATGCTTCAAATTCCTTAATTTTTTAGCTAGGTTCTGCCCTTACTTTCTGCCTTAAATCTCATGTCCACTCTCATTTTCCTCCTAAGGGGTCTGGTGTTGAAAGGATGCCGGTGAAGGACAACAGCCTTGACAAGGAAAAGTGTTTGGAGCTCTTTCTCCTCATTGGATTGGATGAGCGAACTGCACGAAATACCATTGCCAACAACAAGGTCACTGCTAATCTCACTGCCGTCATTAATGAGGTATGCTCTTTTTGTTTTCAGCAACAATTTGCTATTGTTAACATTGTTGGGTTGATGATACAATGAATGAAGTGTAAAAGAAATGAATTTCTTATTATTTATTATTTCGCGGGTTCTTTTTCAGGCTGCTGTAACTGACGGATGCAGTCGGGCTGTTGGAAATCTCCTATACACAGTAATACAATCTATAACAGTTTGTTGTGTCAATTTACTGAAAATACTGTGCTCTAAATCTCATTGTTATTTCTCATCTATTTTCAAATAACTTTGGGAAAAAATTTCTATAATCTTGCTCATTATAATACATAAAAGTGGTTCCTGTTATGACAGGTCGCGACAAAGTATCCTGCAAATTCCCTGGTGCATCGCCCAACCCTGATAGAATATATTGTTTCATCAAAGGTTGTTACACATACTACCTTTTATTATTTATTATTATTTTTAAATAAGAGAAGGTACATATTAATGTGAATCAAATATATAGATTGGAGGACAAGATGTCCTTAAGAAACAGAAAGTGTAGAAATTACTTACTTGAAAATGGAAAGTTTATGAAATTTAAATGTAATGACGTTTCTCACGCAATTGATCATATGCAGATTAAAACTCCAGCTCAGTTAGAAGCGGCTTTTTCATTTTTTGCAACTACGGGCTCCGAGAATTTTAAGTTGAATGAATTTGAAGAAGCCTGCGGTGTTGGTATTACCAATTTACTCATTTTTTTTTTCACTTGAATTTTTTCACAAGATGTCCTTAAGAAGGTGGGCCTTCGCATTGTGGCGGGAGCGCTTGCGTTTGCACCCGGGGTCCAAGGTTCGAATCCCGGAAACAGCCTCTCCTTCGGGGGGTAAGGCCGCGTACATATGGGATTGAGCTTTCCCCCGAGCCTGTCATAATACGGGAGCCTCTTTGGTATTGGGGTCTGCCTTTTTAGTAAGTTGCTTTACGCTTTAGATAGTATTGGCACCAATGCATGCAGAGTCTCACTTGACAACCTTTTATTGGGTATGCTCCTGATAGTTCATGCTACTCATTAATATATTATTATTGTCATCTTACCCCCAAGGGGTAGCTTTAGTGGCCCAGGGCCTCACTTTACAAGCTGGAGGTCTTGGGTTTGATTCCCCTTGGGGCACCTCCCTCAGTTTATCCCTGTGTGTTCGGATAGGAGGGTCTACACGCACCCTTAGGGATTAGTCAGGTGCTCAAAGAGGCCTGGATACCCCAGGTTATCAAAAAAAAAAAAAAAAAAGTTATCTTACAAGAAACAGGGCTTTCTTAGAAGATAGTTGAAGAAAAGATAACGAGGAATAACAAGAGCACAACTGGACAAGAAGTCCTCTAAAAAAAGAAGAGAAAATCAAAGATAACAACCACTTGAAAAGAATCAGTAGCAACTAAAAGACTACCCCAATTCCTTAAAATAGAAAGAATGAAACATTGATGAAGGCTTTAGTTAAGGAAGCCTACAACAAAGCTTAGAACATAATAAGGAATAATTTTTATTGAAATTTATCCCAAAAAAGGGGAAAAACTCTCGGGCCAGGGTGTCCAGAAAATAGCAAATACAATACACTTCCACAGCCAAACTGCTTTGCTGCTCCTATTTTCCACCTATAATTCGCCACCATTAGGAAACCACATTTGTTGCGGGACAACACAACTCAAACCCACTTCTTTCAGAGCTCTAGCCCACAAAAAAAGCAGCACAACTGTAATTAATAAAATAGTTTTCCACTGTTTCGGTTTCCCTACCAGACTTGCATAACACAATGGAGGAAGCAAAGCCATTAATGGCCACTTTCTCTACTACACATGATGAGTGCAGACCTTGCCATTATAAAATAACCAAAGAGGGGGTAATAAAAAAAGGACTAATCATCAGAGAGGATGAGTAAAAAGGATTTACAGAGAAAGAATTACCCACCGCGCACAACACCACAGTCCACACCAACAGCTCTTGTCAACACTACCCCTCATGGGATGAAAGCCATCTAAGGTTGACAAAGGGATACTAGTTCACAAGACATGTCCGTCAAGTATTAAATAGATATATGTTTTTTAGTAACACTTCACATTCCATCGCTTTTCTTTCTATATGTAGTTAGCTGTAACGTATTTGTATTTGCAATCAGGTGTTGAGGTTTCAGTGGAAGAAATTTCAAAGACCGTTGATGATGTTTTTGAAGAGAATGAGAATGTAATCTTAGGGGAACGTTATAGAACAAATGGTAGCTTCTTGCTCTTTCTCTCTGAAATTTTCTAACTGCACATGCATACAAGCATAGAATCGGTGTATTTGTTTTCTCAACTCTGTTAGTACTTATCTTTCTTGATATCGTACCCATCTTAACACTTTTCATTGGTCTTTTTATCACCTTACAGTTAAATTTTGGAGTGAATAATATTCACAGTACAATAAAAGATTTTTCTTTGCCATTCTGTTAAACACTACTGAAATTTCACTTTCCGCTATTTCTTCTAGTGGGTGATTTGTTCGCACATGTTCGGAAGAGGCATCCATGGGCTGATCCGAAAGTTGTCAAGGTGAATCTATTTTACCTACTTGTTTGGACTTTATATAAGATGGTTGTTTAATTACAAACGTTCCTTGTGTCGTTATATCTCACTGCAGCAACTGATTGATGCAAAACTATATGAATTACTTGGGGAAAGAACTGCAGCAGATAATGAAAAGGTTCCCAAAAAGAAGAAAGAAAAGCCTGCTAAAGTTGAGGTTAGCTAATTAATAATCGTTTTTTTTTTTCTTCCTTCTATTTTATCGACACCATCAGAAATATGACTCCCAAGTCCTGTTTTCTCATTCTATGTCCATGCTTATGTAGGAAAAAAACATTGTTATTTCTGCTACAGAACATCCATCTGAAGAAGATATTAATCCGTTTTCCATATTCCCTAAACCTGAGGAAAATTTTAAGGTAAAGACTGCCTTCTTCTTTTTTTTTTTTTTTATAACATTTTTTCCCTCTGTTGAAGCAATAATTATTTAGGTGGTAATATTTGTGAGCAGTTTGTTATTGATAAGACTCAAAATCAGATATTTGACTACTGCAATCATGTTGCGGAAACTATTTGATAACATGAAATCAGATTGAACTAAATTTGAATAGGACGTTAGTGAATCAGTTTTCCCAACTCATTTCAACAACTTAATGTTGACAGAAATATGGTTTGCAAACGACAGAAAAACTCAGATTACCTCGTTAAAGTAAAAAAAATATTTGATTATATGCAAGATGTAGATAGGTCTGAAAGATTGTTTGATCACCTCAACCTCCTAAAAGTTTGGAGTAGACATCTTTATAACCAAGCGTTGGTTATGTCTTGTGAAGTAATTGAAATCAAATGATACTAGTAGCGTTTAAGCTGACATGATGTGGAACTTGGGTTTTGCTTAAGCTATCAATATGATTTAAAAGTAAACACTTTTTCATTTTGTTTTGATGTTATTAATGGAGATGTGAACGCTTATTACAAACAAGTTGTTTAAATTGTCATTCGAAAAAGATGCTTGAAAGAAAGATTGTCTCTCATTTTGCATGTGTAACGTATCCATCAGTGATTTACATTGTTGCTTCACGTAAATCTTGAGCTCTTTCTGATACGTTGTCATCTAGAGCTTTTATATGCATTGGAATCATATTTACTCTAGTTTCTTTCTTTCCTTTTTTTTTTTTTTTTTTTTTTTTTTTTTTTTTTTTTTTTTTTTTGCGCAATTGTAGGTTCACACAGAAGTTTTCTTTAGTGATGGTTCTGTTCTGAGATGTTGCAATACAAAGGAACTACTTGAGAAGCACTTAAAAGTAACAGCGCAGAAAGTGTTAACTCGATTTCCTCCTGAACCAAATGGCTATTTGCATATAGGTCATGCCAAGGTTTGCTGTAAGCCATTTGTTTTATTTTAAGATTCTATTGCTTTTACAGTGGGTTCCTAATATATTGTTAATTAGGCAATGTTTGTTGACTTTGGCCTGGCAAAAGATAGAGGTGGATTGTGCTACTTAAGGTGAGAATTTCCTGTCTTAGCCTTATCTGGTTATTTAATTAATTTTTTATGTGGTGGAAAAAATAAAAGAAATAAAACAGGGAACATGTGATCTTTTGCCATCCACATGCGATGCTGTCTGACTATGTATAAAGCTTATGATTCCTAATATCAAAATTTAAAAGTATATGCACTATTGATAGTTCATCTAATATACAATCTATTTGAAATCTTATTATGTTTGTAAAGGGAGAGTTTGCTGGGTTAAGTTCTTTACTGGAAGGGTTTTCTTTAGATCTAATGCAGTGGATAAAAGGGGTGCTTCCTCTTCATGTGGATCTCTTTCTGAAAGAAGAGTCTGCTAATTCTCGTTTTCTGCTCTTTAGATTTACTTGGAAAAGTTGTGCTCCCATTACAATCCAGTTTTTTGCTTGGTTATTTATGGAAAATTTTAGCTTGCTATATTTGAGTGTTTATAAAAACGTGATATGTGTATGGGATATAGATGAACATTGGGATTTTTTATGCGTTGCAGCTACTAAGGAGTCTTAAGGAATTCATTTCTCTTTGATGTGAGGGATTGGCGTGCTTTCTGCGATTTATGATGTGTTTTTAGTTTTTGACCGTTTTATAGAGGACTCCTTGTTCTCCCATCTTCTCAGCTTCATTTAATTTTAATAATACTCTCTTGCTTCTTATTTTTACTTTTTTTTTTTTTTACTTTTTTTTTCTCCTCTTGGAGATATAGCTTTTAATTTATAGTGCAGGAGCTTATTTTTTTTATATTTATTATTATTATTATTATTTTTTTTAGAGTGATGGAGAGGTTCCCAAAATGCAATTTCCTTTTGAGTTTTGATAGTCAATTTCTATTGCTCTTGATGAATTTTGAGAGACGGAGGTCTCAAGATGACATTTTTGAGCTCTGATGTCTGTGTCTCAATGCTCTCCTTTTCTTTTTTTTTTTTCCCCTTTTCTTTTTTATTTTCACAGATATGATGATACAAACCCTGAAGCAGAAAAGAAAGAATATATTGATCATATCGAAGAGATTGTCAAGTGGATGGGTTGGGAGCCCTTCAAGGTATTACAGATAGCCTACATCAATAGCATGTTGTTTGTTTCCTAGCAGTTTTTCACGGGTTATTTTTCTCTATTCTTATTCCAGATCACTTATACCAGTGATTACTTTCAAGAGTTGTATGAATTAGCTGTGGAATTGATACGAAGAGGTCATGCCTATGTTGATCATCAGGTTCTGTTCAATACTCATGAAATAGTTGTGTGCTTGTAGAATTGTTTCATGTCTTCTTTTTATTTTTTAGTTCCATACATCCTCGGGCCGTACACGTTTAGATGTGCTAACTTTTGCCCCTTCAATTCATCCAAGATTTGTATCTCTCTTAACAATATTCCTGTTTCTTATAGAAAGAAAAATGACACAACGATAGAATTTCCAGGCAAGGGGTAGTACGTAAAATTATCTATATTTGCAGTTATCTGAACTGTACTAGGAGGAGTAAACTTCCTGTAGGTTTAGCACCTTTTCTCCAATCTTTGTTTTATGCTATCGGTTTGAAAATATTGGCCTGTTGTGGAGTTAGCCATGTATTTATGTATTCATGTGGACGTGCACTATTATTTATGGATTGAGAATTTTAGATTCCTTCATGGTTAGTTGTTAATTATGTGTTTTAACTTTTGTAGTTTTTTCATCCTATTTGTTTTGTCTAAGAAAGTTACTTATGCATGTAAAAACTTGGATTATAGACACCTGACGAGATAAAGGAGTATAGAGAAAAAAAGATGAACAGTCCTTGGAGAGACAGACCGATTGCTGAATCCTTGAAACTTTTTGAGGATATGAGACAGGGTCTCATTGAAGAAGGAAAAGCTACACTTAGAATGAAGCAGGACATGCAGAGTGATAACTTTAATATGTATGACCTTATTGCATATCGAATCAAGGTAACAGTGCGCGTAACCATATTTTGATTGGTCATGCTATGAATAATCACCTATATGATTATATGCAACTTTGTTTCCAGTTTACCCCTCACCCGCATGCTGGAGATAAGTGGTGTATCTATCCAAGCTATGATTATGCTCACTGTATTGTGGATTCTCTTGAGAATATCACACATTCGGTATGTCTACTCCCTTTGACGGGTACTCCGTCCAAATTATGTACCTCGAACAAACACGACTTCTCTTTGTTCTAAAATTTACGGATGATCTTTTCTCTCCTCATGCATCTATTTAGTTTTATTTTTTATTTTTTATATTTTATATATGTATAAATCATGGGACATAATGAATTATGCTGGGTTTTAACTGAGTTTGTTTTGTTTATGCTTGTGATGTTAATGTGTCAGTTTGTATTCTGCGTATCACACATTCTTTAGCATGTTATATAAATGCCACATCATGGATTCTGCTGCCTTGCCTGTCACCACTCACACACTTTATTTAACAATATATTTGCATGTTGTTATGATATTTGGATGGCTTATTATTGTTTTGGAAGTAAATTGTTCAGCAGCGTATCATTTCTCTCCATCTTGCATTCTCTTGTCCCCTGTTGTTTTTTCCTTCTCAGATTTTTTTACTTGTACAAAAATAGTAATAGAAATCTGAATTCTTTGTAGCTTTGTACACTTGAATTTGAGACACGACGTGCTTCATACTATTGGTTATTGCATGTGCTGGGCCTTTACCAACCATACGTCTGGGAATATTCACGGTTGAATATCAGTAACACTGTCATGTCCAAGCGCAAGGTGAGTCGAGCACATGAAAGTTGCATCATTGAAAATTTATGGTGGTCATCTTTGAATTATTCTCACTTGTAGCATTTTGTATGCTATTGCAGTTAAATCGACTAGTGACAGAAAAGTGGGTTGATGGTTGGGATGACCCTCGCCTTATGACACTTGCTGGCTTACGACGTAGGGGTGTGACTTCCACCGCAATAAATGCTTTTGTTAGAGGAATCGGAATTACTAGAAGGTAAATATATATGATTTAGGAATTAATATGAAGATTTGTTTGACTATATATCTTGCACTTCCTTGTTTTACGTTTTGTCTACTCCTTTGTGCTACAGTGACTCTAGTATGATACGTGTGGATCGCCTAGAGTATCACGTGAGGGAAGAACTAAACAAAACAGCGCATCGCACAATGGTTGTGATCCATCCGCTCAAGGTGATCATTTTTTTTTGGGGGTCTCCTGTTGCTTATTTTGATATGCATGTCTTGACGTAATTTACTTTTGCATTTTAAGGTTGTTATAACCAATTTAGAAGCTGGCACTATGCTCGATCTTGACGCCAAGAAATGGCCTGATGCTCAAGTTGATGATGATTCTGCTTTCTACAAGGTGAATTTGGATTTGAAAACTTAAATACTTAAAAGAGGATACTTATTAAGTGTGAACCTTTAACATTCTTCATGACTCTATGATCTTCTATACTTTTATTTAACGTTGTCTAGTTGTCTTTGCTTCAATGTGATGGGTATCATCAATGACTCAAATTTGGAGAACTTGTTGCTTTACCATCTTCTTAATCTTTTGTTACTTTCACCAGGATAGCATTAATATCATTTACGAGGATCCTTCCCTTCCCCACCACCCCCCCCTAAACATAACACCAGCAGTTTAAGCTGCAACTTTTATCTTTGTTTCTTACATTGATTTTCTGTGGCTCTAAGTTTACTATCTGTGCTTACTCTCTGGCGTTCTGTAGGTTCCATTTTCCAAAATAGTATATATTGAACAGTCCGATTTTCGGATGAAAGATTCAAAAGATTATTATGGGCTTTCTCCTGGTAAATCTGTGCTACTCAGGTAGATATATTTGTTTCTGGTTTCTATTTTGCCTATTTAATTGGCAGATGCAGGATCAATGCTGACATTTCTTCTTCATGAGTGCAGATATGCATTCCCTATCAAGTGCGCTGATGTTATCTTAGATGATGATAACAAAACTGTTGTCGAAATCCGTGCTGAGTATGATCCTTCCAAGAAGACAAAGCCAAAGGTGTATATGTTGTAATGAAATCTGTTTGAATTTGATTATGCGAGTGTTTTATGATGGTTGCAGAACTGGCTGTACTCAATGGTTTTCTGATTTCATGTACGATTCAGGGTGTCCTCCATTGGGTTGCAGAACCTTCTCCAGGGGTTGATCCGCTGAAGGTGGAAGTTAGATTGTTCGACAAACTATTTATTTCCGAGGTTGAAAATCTAAGCGCTTCTCTCTCTCTATTCCACTACTTGTCTACTTCGTATAGAGCGCCATCTGAGTTTTGTTCTTTTACTTGCCTTTTGCACCTCTCTCCATGTTAACAGTTTGTTATCTAATTCTTGTTTGAACTTTTGGATTAGAATCCTGCGGAACTTGATGACTGGGTTGCTGATTTGAACCCCCAATCCAAATTGGTTATACCCGATGCATATGCTGTGCCCACACTTCGAAATGCAACTGATGGTGACAGTTTTCAGTTTGAAAGACTTGGTATATTCCTGACTCCCCATTGTTATCAATTTCAGTTTCGATATTTTATCTCCTAATTTTAAAATAAACATATAGATGCATGCATGGCATAGAAGAAAATATCTATCAATTCGTCAATCACATGTGAGGTGACAGTTTGACAGAGATTTGTTTACTGGGGTTGGTAAAGGATAAAAGTTTCCTCCTTAAAGATTGACCTGAACCTTCTTAAATTTCTAGCTGACGTTTAGCGTTTTCCTTGTTTGGGGTTGGGAAAAAACGTTTACTGTCCTTACTTCCCAAGTTTAGATCTCCTTTTGGATCTGGAGAGGACGCATTTTATCAAGTCAACATTTTCTTCAGTTTCCATGAAAACGTTAACTTTAGGTTATGCTTGAAATATGTATGCTTTTTTCTATTTAAAGCTATAATGCAACTTCGAAGTGTCAGTTTGCTGTCGAAAAAAATTGTTTCAAGAGTTCCGTTCAGAGGTTTGAGCTAGTCTCTTTTGAGTTCAAATATACAGTTTTTATTATCCCAGTCCATTTTTCTTTTGAGTCATTATCTGAAATATTTCTCTCTCGTCACCTGTTTGGATGCATAAAACTGGCTCAGCTGTGGCTTCATATTTGTGTGAGGAGCTTTGGCTTATGAGTTTGCCGTTATTATTATTCATGTGTATTTTGTGGTTCCATTTTATTACATTAGAAATGCACTTCGTTTGATAATATATTTGCATTTCTAGTTTATTTTTTTTTAGTTATTATTATTTTTTTTTGGGTTTATGTGTCCATTTCTTTCTAGGTTATTTCGCGGTTGACAAGGATTCATCTCCTGAAAAGTTAGTCTTTAATCGGACGGTCACGCTGCGAGACAGCTACAGCAAAGGTGTGAAATAGGTTCATGCCATGTACGCAAGTAAAACGGATGATTTTTTGAGTACATAGTAACTCCATTTGTTAAAATTTTTTAAGTTTTGTGGAGAAACATTTACCTATCGGCCGCACAAGTCAACACAACTTCATTTGTTGATATATGGAAAAACTAATTTAAGGTTGTAGACAGATTGACTAGTTTGCAGCAAGTCGTTTCCTTTTCATTTTTCTTTTAAATCATTGTTTAGCAATAAGAGCTAATTGGTAACTTAATTAAGATGTATTAAAGTTCGTTAATGTTAATTGGTTTGTGGATTTTGTTTTATGTTATTATATGTAAAGAACAACAGATATTATATTTGACTATCTCAGAGTTATGAGTGAGTTACATAATTTCATGCTATAATAACAATTATTTTGATTGGCAAAAATAATTGTAACAAGTTATTTTCTCCTTTAAATCAGTCAAAAGCTGACCACGTTAATCACATGGATATAAAAGGTATCAATTAAGTAAAATGTTTTTTTTTTTTTGGGAAAATTTTTAAAAATGTCAAGTAACTATTTTATGTCGGACACTATTGTTAAATTTATCTTATACCACTAATAATTTATAATTTATCACTTCGTATTCTGCATTAAACTTGAAATTTATTATATACAACATGCATGGCACATGAACATATTTTAATTAGGTATATATATTATAACAATGGTACAAGTTGATATGAGTTGATTTTTTCAATCTAAAATAATGCTTCCCATATCCAGCTGGATCTATTATGTAATATCGGACTGACTGCAACATTTCTCAACCCTTGAAGAGATAGAAGAAAAAAGGAAATGGCTATTTTCCTACAATTTCCAAAGTATCTGTGGCAAGTTCTCTTATGCTTAGTCCAGCTGATACTTAAATATCCCTTCTCTCTTTTTCTATTCTACAAACTACCGCTCTCCTAATTCAGTTCAAACTCATGAATACCATGTCTAATATAAGATCATCATCATCATCATCAGGTGGCAAATGCCTGACCTTGCCACCATCCCCACTGAGGTTGCCAGTCATCGGAAACCTTCACAAGCTTGGAAACTCCCCACCCCGCTCTCTCTGGGAGCTCTCCGAAAAGTATGGGCCGCTACTGCTCCTACACTTAGGCCATAACTCCAACTCTACTGGTTTATTGTCCAAGTATAGTGAAAGAAATAGCTAAGAATCACGGTGTCATTTTCTCCAAACGACTGCAAACGAGCGCTTCTGATGTGTTACTCTACCGAGGGAAAGACTTGGCCTTTTCGCCTTAGGGTGAGTACTTTGTGCTCTTGAGCCGGAAGAGAGTGCAGTCATTTCAGTCAGTGAGAGAAGAAGAGGTTTTCCATTATGGTCGACGAGTTGGCGAAATCCTCCCTAAAAGGGAGTACAAATTCGGTGAACCTAAGCGAGATTATGATCTCGACATTAAACAACGTAGTCTCGAGATGTATTATTGGACAAAAGTATGATAATGGGGAAGAAGAAGTAGGCTAGGGGAGCTGGGAAGAAAGCTGAATGAGCAGTTTGGAGTCTTCAGTGTGGGGGATTACTTCCCTTCTTTAAGTTGGATTGACAATCTTCGAGGCTTTAAAGCTAGCTTGAAATCCACTGCCAGAGATTTAGATGCTTTTTATACTCAAGGTCATTGAAGAACGCAAGGCAAAAACAAGTGAAAGTGATCATCAGTACCACTTCCAAAGACTTTGTAGATATTCTTCTCAAACTTCAGAAGGATCGTAGCATTGTTGACTTTGAGCTAACTGATATTCACATCAGTGGATCTACTGATGTGTTATATGTATTTATATTAAGTCGTCATTTTTAGTTGCATCATTTTTTGTCCAAGTCATTTATCTTAGTGTGTATTTTGTTATCATCGTGGGTAAACGATAAATAACCACATTAATTCTTGTAATATTTAGACTTAATTATTGAGATATTAAATACTAAAATTGAATTTTCTCTCTTCTTTTTGGGAATTTCCACTTAGCCATGAAGTTATATTGATCTATTCCATTCCGATGCATCATACACTTACATTATTGTCAAAGAAAAAAAAAAAAGACAACGACTCTACATATGAACTATAGCTGTCTTAGCTAGGGAGATACACGAAAAGTGAAATATGCTATTAAGAAATTATAAAACAAACGACAAATGCAAGACGATTGACATGAAATTAAGAAAGATATATCATACAAATCCAGCAGAATTATTTGCTTAATTAAGATGAAGGAGAAAACATTACTGGCACTAGATGAAGAGGTATTTTCTTGCGAATTGTGAGGCCAGCAAGGCCAGTCTCAGTCATGTCAAAATTCTCCAAATTTTGACCAGGAGGCAACTTCCAATCAAACCAATAAAGTAAATTAGCCAACACATACTCAACTTGGGCAATCGCAAACATAATTCCAGGACAAACTCTACGACCAGCACCAAAGGGAATAAATTGGCTATGATTACCCTTGAAATCAATAGCATTATTTGAGTTGTTGTTTAGAAATCTGTCTGGAATAAACTCTTCTGCGTTTTCCCAGATTTTGGGGTCTCTTTGAATAGCCCATGCATTTATCACAACTCTTGTTCTAGCAGGAATGTCATAGCCTTTCAACTTAGCAAGGGCAGATGTTTCACGAGGGATCATAACAGGAGCATGCAATCGTAAGGCCTCTTTTATTACACATTTCAAGAACTCCATTTGATCAATATCAGTCTCATCTATCTTTGATTTGTTTCCCACCACTCTTCTCACTTCTTCTTGTGCTTTTCTCATCAAATTCGGATTTTTCACAAGCTCTGCCATGGCCCATTCCATCGCCGCCGTGTTGTTGTCCGTTCCACCAATAAACATGTCCTGCAACACACTACTAAAAACTTACTCCAAAAAAAATTACTTTCATTTACGCTACTCTCACAAACAAATTAATTTTGTCATTAAAATTGTAAGAGTATCTCTCACTTTAATAAATAAAATAATCCAAGCTATTGTCGAGGGGAGAAAGATCTCTTGTCAAATACTTATAGAAACTATTTACTCTTGATTCAAAGTAATACATATATATACTGGATTTTGCAGAGAATGAAATAAAGATTTCAACAGGGTAGAGGGTACCATCAGAATTGCTTTGATATTTTCTTGAGTGAGATTAACTTGAAGTTGACCATTCTTTTGAGCATGGAGAAGAATATCGACAAGGTCTTTCTTATCAGATTGGTTATCACCACTTCTCTCTTTATGTTCCTCTATTACTCGATCAAGTAGACTGTGAAGTTCTTTGGCAGTCTCTCTTATTCTTCGGTTAAATCCTGTAAGAACATCGATCCACCCAAGGGAAGGCACAAGATCTTCAAAGCTGAATGATACGAGTAGTTCCATTGCCCTCGATGACACAACTCCGAAACTCTCACGGCCATCTCCCCTTTCATACTTGCCGCCAAGTGCGCATCTTGAAACTATGTCGCTTGCGATAGCGAGAAACATCTTACTAAGATCTACTGGAACGCCTTCTGACTGGGAACAAGAACCGCGAATGTTTTCCGTCATCGTCGCAACTTCTTCTTCCGTCACGTAGCGGAAAGCTCGTACCCTCTTGAGGCTCAACAGTTCAACAACACAGAGCTTCTTTGTTTCTCTCCAATAGTCACCGTATCGCGAAAAAACTATATCACTTCCGTATAAAAGAACGTTGGTGGCCTTTGATAGGGGCCGGTCTAGGAAAGCAGAATTGTTCAAGACCTCTCTTGACATCTCTTCGGAGGAAACTACGAGGGTCGGCGCATTGAAAACGTGGACGAGAATTAGAGGACCGTACTTCTCCGACAGGGCGCGGAAAGATCGGTGGAGGCCGAGTGCGCCTGCTAGCTGGTGAAGGTTGCCAATTATTGGTAGCCTTGTTGGGGATGGAGGAAGATTCAGCTTTCGACCTCTTATAATAGTATTAAACACATATAAAGAGAGAATGAGGAGAATGAGAGATAAGACGATCATAGAATTAGAGGAAGTAGCAAAATATTGTTGTAGATCTTGCCACGAACAATATTTTGGCAACGAATTCAAAAGTTTCGCCTGATCATCCATAATTACCTCTTTAAGATGTTGCAAGGATGAGAATAATGATCAGGACAATAGAGATTAAAGGTCTAGCAAGTTTCAACTGCCTGATCTGCACACACACACACACACACACATATATATATATATATATATGTATGATTATACATATATATTTAAATACGAGAAATAGTAGAAAATATGTCAATATGACAAGTTTAAGAAAGTATATAGGCTAATTTTTAGTTATAGAAATTAATAGGTCATAATTTGTCAAGTTATGGTTCATAACCAGATAAGTTATGAATAAACTTGTTAAGTTATGGTTTATAGCCAGATAAGTTATGGACAATTATGGACAATAACTTGTCAAGTTATGGTTCATAATCAGACTAGTTATGGACGAAAACAGTAATTTGACATATTTATTAACTTATGTAAACTATTAACCTATTAATTTTAATCTATCTCAAGTTTTTAAATACACGTGCACAATCGCTTAAACCAAGAAAGAGTTATTAAAAAAATAAAACCCGTTTTCCTTTGGAATATAAAACAATACCACATGTCTTGCCATTAAAGTGGCAATAATAAACATTTGATTCGACATGTCTTGTTAATTTTCAAAAATGTAGGAATACACGTGGGTTTCTTTTGGCAGACTCACGAATTCACGCGGTTTCATTTAACATTTGATATTACTTATTATAGTCATGTTATATATAAATAATTTATATATGCCACCCAGCTCATCATTTAATAATTTATTAAATTTATATATTCATGTCATGTCTTTGTCTAGAAGATTATTGAAATCAAGCGTATTCATCAGCGTTTTGTCTTTAGGCAGAGTCATTTTCACTTGGTTTCTTGTAAACATTTGTTGATATTAGTTTCTGTAATCATATTATATATAAAAAAATTATATATCATTAACACATTTAAAAGCCTCAAAAACTGTTCTGGCAGGACGAAACGTTTCACCTTAATCTTTTTTTTTTCTTTTTTTCTAATGCCTCTCTCTCTCCTTCTCTTTTGGTTTTTTGTGCATTGCACTTGCTGCTGTACATGATTATTCATATTATACTACTTTAATTAGTATAAATGACTTTTAAAAAAAAAAAATTAAACTCACACTTTTAATTGTTATAATATTATCCACTTTAACCTAAGCCGGGACAGTTTTTCTCTTTGACTTTACCCCGAAACCCTTCACCTAAATAGGAGCTAGATGATGTCTTTACTTATGAAGTATCACTTGTATAGCTTTGTAAGATTGGCGAATTACTTGTCTTGTGGCTCTGGAGGTTTTCGCTCAAGACATTGATTATCGTCACAAGAATCCACTGAGACGGAGTTAAAGGATTGGGGTTTTTTTTAAATATTTTTTAATTCATTTTAGCTATTTAGAAGGCTTGGAAGTTGAAATTATCGATTTATAGTTTTTAGTATGACACTATTTATGTGCTATGAATATTTTCTGTAGCAGGTTTTTGCTGGTATAGTGACACAAATATATTACGTGTCCCATTCAATTTCTCCTTATTATTATTAATGACGTGAAAAGTAATTAAAGGATAACACTAATTTTTATGCTAAATTGTTGAAACTTTAATTGTAAATTAATAAATTATGACTGTATTTCAACAAAAGGGAAAATGGAAGCTGGTAACATATAGAGGCTTACAATTAGGGAAATTTTTAAAAATATCCTTTTAAATGGAGCCCTATTTTATTTTTATTTCTTAACATTAGTTCATATATTTCTACTTTTTAGACTAGAATTAGTTGAAAGATAAAGTTTTTAAAAGGACTACTTTTAATAAGTCAGGTACTTATAAAAATAAAATTTATAATTTTCTCCTACAATTATGGATAATGGCTGTATTTAATTAGACCCATTTGAATGGAAGTTAATTACAGTTTCGGCAACACTATATATATTCACCACCAGCATACATATAGATATACTATAGGGTTGTATACCTCGGCCTACATTACTTTTCAAAACTTTTATTAGAAGTTGATATACAAGTCTTCTCAAAGATTGTATTAATTTATCTTCTCAAATTAAGATGAATTATCCATAATTCAATTAGGCGTTTGGTTCATGGATTTAAATCATGTGATTAGAACCATTTTTGATTTACGTGTATTTTTTGTAAGAGAAAATACTATAGCGAACCACAAACTATGATTCGAATCAGGAATTAAATAAATAATAATCAACAACAAGATTAATTAGTTTGTTAATTCCAATCCTAGTTCAAACTAAATAAATAATTATCTCTAACTTGGATAGTCCAATGAAACAACACTACAAACATTATTTCCCATGGAAATTATATTATAATCTATTTGATGCTATTGTTTTGTCATACATTCACAACTACTTCGATTTGAAAAGCTGTACGTTATTTCACCATGAATTTTTTTTTAATACACACACACATATATATATATATATATTATTAGTTCGTAAGGTTTCATGACAAACAAGTTTTATACTTTTAAGCTCTGGATTTTAACTTTTCGTATGTCGAATGGATCTAAATAAAGATTGATGCACATATAAATATTAAGTATTTGTTTAAAATTGATCGTTTCGCTATGATGTGAACATGGTGTGTTCTTTTGCAGGTCAAGATTCCTTGAGCTAGTTGTACAATTCACATGTTCTTTTCTTAGAATGTAAGATAAGCATATATACGTTAAATTAAATTTAACAAGAAATAGAATACATGTATATTTACATTATCAAATATGCTATTATCCTTAATTATTAGAGTTATGATCATTTACCATTGTAATATGTTCAGAGACATGGAGCAAGAGTTATACCTGACATGAGAACATTATAGCATTCTTTAAAGGTTTTTCAAAAAGTGAAAAAGAAAAGAAAAGAAAAAACTAGCTAATCAGTTTTCTAAAGTTTCATGGTACTATATATTTTAATTAAAGAGATGTTTCAAAGCGTATACTTGGGTTTGAAAGTTTGGTAGCACAAAACATGGGTGGGACCAATGAACACCTGCAAATAATTAATGGTGACATTTTTCTAGACATGAGTTTTTCATGATATGCATATGCTCAACTTATAAGTTCCACATTATACTTGGCTAGGCAGGCACATAATTGTACTCGCTCATATATATAGTGGGTCAGATATAAAATTATCGTTAAATTATAATAGCAATCACCGCCTTAATTAGTTATTTGATTGATAATTAATTTGTTGATAAAAATAGTTATTTGATTTTTAATAAGGATATGCTATTATTATTGTTATTATTATTATTATTATTATTATTATTATATTGTTATTGTTTGGAAGGGTGATCTATACAACTCCAAAGCCTCAGAAATAACATTTGGACGATAATTAACAATGTGACTACATTACTTTCAAAGTCAAAGTTGAAGAAAAGTAATTAACACAGATAACACCTGAGCTGTGATTAAGAAAGGAATTCATACATATTAAGTTTATAATGTCCTCGAATTGACATAAAATAAATCACATAAGCTGTAAGAAAAGCAAACTAATAATAAATATATACCCGTTTAAACATCATCACTCACGAAGCATATATATATATATATATATTATTACACACCCCTCACAGATATTATTATCCTTTTTAGCATATATATAGTTTCACACTGGTGACCATGGTGAGCATATTAGAAGAGATGGTGGTGGTGCTTCTTTCCATGAGCCTCTTCCTCTTCTTTCTTTGCCTCTTTCCTCTCATGGTGCTCGTGGAAGGCGAACCCTCCCCCTGCGATGGCGGCCGCTGCCGCAATCTCCTCTTCAATCTTGTGCCTGTGAGCATGTTCTGGATCTTTCTTCGACTCGTGCTTCTCGTGCTACATGATCAACCACATATATCGAAAGTTGTACGTAGTAACAAAATAAATAAGTAAATAAAAGTACTACAACAAAATTGCCAATTGAAGCTTTTTCTTTGGGCGCATGACCTAATTCTAATTTTATGCATAACAAAAACTTCTTATCTTGTTTGTTTGTTTGTTTGTTTTTGTTTTTTTGTTTTTGTTTTAAATAAAAGAGATGAGACAACTAATTAATTAAGTTGACACTGCTTAAAACTCTATCCCATACTAATCCTCTCCCTAAAAAATTTACTGAAATAAAATTTAAAAAAAAAGTACAAAAAGAAACACCACAATGGCAAAGAAATAAAGCCAAAGCTCAAACAAAACCTAAAGGAAACTGATGCTAAAGAGTAATGATATTTATTTATTATACATATATAGAAAGCAAATTACTGTAAGATATATCGTACCAAGGCATAAGCGCCGGCAGCGGCAGCACCGAGCTTGCCGAGCTGCTCGAGATGCTTGTGGTGCTTCTCCTCCTTCTTGTAGTCTATTTCATGATCAGGGGAATGAACATATACGTCGGTGGAGTCGGAGCCACCGGCGTCGATGTCGATGGGCTTGTCTTCATCCTTGTTGTGGTGGAAGAGGTGGTGGTGGTGGTGGTGTTCCTCAGACATATTGGTCTTTAAAAGGTTTGCAAAAGAGAAAAAGATGTACAATATAGAAGAAGGAAAAAATAGTTATTATATATGGCTAGACAAAGGAACAAGGCTTTGGGAAATTATGTAAAGTTGGGATATGCAAATGCAATGAAATTGACGGTCCTATTTATATTATAAATGTTTGAAGTTGTTGGTGGATAAACACTTGAAGACTCGTTGGTGTTATTAGTAAATTCATGCATGGGAGGCTTTATTTACGTTCCTTGCCATGGTTGGCCAGGGCCTTTTCTTGCCTCTCTTTTCTTTTCTTCTTATATACTCATCAAAAAGAAAAAAGGAAAAAAATAAATAAAGAAAGAGAGAGAGAGGCTTAACTAATAAGAATCTCCTTGTATGAATATTCACGTTTTTTTTTTTTTTCTTTTTTCCTTTACCATGTGAAACTTAAAATAGTGTGTGAGGACACCAATGATTTTTTTTTTTCCTTTTGTTCCGGAAAATAAATAAATAATTAGTTAATATAAGATATTGATTTTGATAGAATACGTAATTTTGCAGTAAAATTTAACGTAAATCTCAAAACGTTTTCTTTTTCTGAATTTTTATTTACTTTTCTTTCTCAAAACTTGTGATCTTGGTTTATCAATATATCAAGTTATCAATCAAAAGTAGTAGTGTTGCAATTCAAGCAGCGACCGCCATATCTAAAAGGTTTTTTATTTTTATTTTTATTTTTTTCATTTCTATGCCTATATTTTAAGTTTATTAAATAATAACAATGTCTTGTATTTTAAATTGTATCACAATTATACCTTTAAATTTAGAGTTTATGCCCAATTCTTACCTTTTCTCTCTGTCAATAGTCAATTTTGACTCTGAGAATGTCTTGTAAATGTCCTGAATGCCCTTAAAGACCATATTAGAGTAAGAATAAGGAAAAAAAATTAAGAGCTCAAAAATGTGAAGGACATTTGGGTTTTTCAATATTCAAAATAATTAACTCTGACTTTAAAAAATGTACGAATTTAATATGAATTTGAAAAGTAAAGGCGTAAATTTGATACAGTTAATAAAACAAGATAATTTTTTGATAACCTCAAAATACAGTGTTTAAAAATGAAAAAGATCTAAAAAGTGAATATAATAAATGGCTGTCATACAATAATACAAATAACATAAATAGTTTCAATGACATGAAAAATAAATTAGTCACCAAAAACATTAGGTTCTGTTTGTTTCATATACTTAAACTCAAATTATTGATTCTGCTATAGTATTTTCTTCTAAAAATATTTGAATTTCAAACATCAGAATAAAAAATCATAATTTGAGTATACCTTTCAAATGGGCTCTTATTGTTTTCAGAGGATTTCTCCCAGATCTTTTCACAATTTACCACGCCATCAAAAGCCACAATCACAAATTGACATGTGTGCTTGATTCCACAACTTATTTATTTAATAATAATAATAATAATAATATTATTATTATTATTATTATTATTATTAGTATTATTATTATTGCCGCTTGGAAGCGTGATCCTACAACTCCAAAGCCTCACAAATAAAATCTGGACGATAATTTACTGAGTACATTACTTTTAAAGTCAAACTTAAAGAAAAATAAGTAACGCAGATAACACCTGAGCTGTGATATATTAAGAAACGAAATACACACATATTATGTTTATAATGTCCTCGAATTGAAATAAAACTAATCACATAAGCTGTAAAAGAACCAAATAATATATACCCATTTAAACAAGGACACATAATCACTCACGAAGCATATATTATTTCACACCCCTAGGTATTATTATCATTTTCCAATTCATCACAATGTCCAAAGTGCAATAATGTCTTCATTAGATTTTTTTTTTCTTTATTTTTCCAACTAAAGGATATAAAATAATTTGCATGAGGAAAATGTATCCACTAAGTTATTAGCATCATGGAGGATGATTGATGTGAAAAAGGAAATGAAATAATTGATGGAACTTTAATTGGTCAATGGATAATGTTGCCTATGGCTGTGGACGGTAGTAATATTGGGCCCATTTTGAATAGTAGCGCTAAATTCACGAAAGATTGATATGATATGATAAAATTGTCCGTTTAGTTCGCTGATTCGAGTTTTTAATTTGAGTTAAGATGTGACTTTATATGAGCTTTTTACTGTAATAAAAAGTTAGATGTGACTATTTTTAAGAGTTTTTTACTGTAACAAAACTCAAATTTTAAACTCGAATATTCAGAAAATGAATGTTAATATAACAGTCCAAAAGTATGTGCTAGCTTTTCAAGAAGCAAAGTGATCATCTAAATCTAAATATGTAAAAGTAAATTAAAATTTCAAACGGATGGATATGGTTGGAAAGCCTTATCGATGGGGGTTCTCATTTTGGTCCCTAGAAAACGATATTGTTTTCGATAAGTTTTAAGATGGGACAAACCCTACAGAAAGCAGGAGAAATACAAATTATGATATTTTTCGAGAATCTGAGGTGCTGAACGCTTGTTTTTTGCGAGAAAAGTAGAGTCTGCGAGATCGTTAGCTCGTTTAATTCATGGATTTAAATTAGTGATTTTGATTTTAAATTTAAATTTTATAAACCGAATCTTTTTATATATACATATTAAATATATATATATATTTAATAGGGGTACGCTTAATTACTAAGCTCGTCCTTAAGTATGTGAAGAGTATGACCCACCCCCCTGTGGGAGGCCTGGAGAGAAACAGTCTGGTTCTTTAGAACCTGGAGCGAACAAACATCTCCTTCATATCTCCGAGGGACAACTCCTTCACACACATTTTTTTTAATCCATATAGAGTGTTAATTTTAATGGATAATATGTAGTTTTTTATTCATTTGTTGTATTTAACTTTTATTTAGGCGTTAAGAAATATGAAATGTAGTTCTTGTGAGTTACTGACACAATGGCTACTCATCAGTTTTGTTTTAAAATGTTCCTCGTTCTCTATAAATTTATAAAACGTAAGTGCATTTAGAATTCGTTCTAAAATAATTTTATTTTTATATGAAAATAAAAACGAAAACGTTTTTAATCTCAAACAGAAATCATTTTTAAAAATATATTTGATAATTTTATTAAGAAA